ATAGATTTAATAAGTTTATAATTTTATTTTTAGCTTTATATCTTATTTATTTAGCTTTATATAAATTTTGAAAAAGTATTCATAATAATATGGTACCCCACTGTATAAAAAAAAAACATTCTAGAGACATTTTTATGCTAATAAAAAATTTAAGAAATTACGAATAAATAGTATGATAAAATGCATCAATGTCTCTATTATTAAGTTCCTCTTCAACATATGAATTTAGTTGATCAATTAAATCTCTGGGATCAGCTAAAATAATATCCAATTCTCCTGCTTTGCTAATCAAACTTTTAGAGTAACTCGTGATGGTAATGATAACTCCTCTAGTATCAAGTAATGATGCTGCGCTTGCAATCCTTTTGACGTTGTTAAAGCCAACTTTCGAAAAGGTTCTAAATTTGCAGTTTATTGTGAAATAAACGTCGAACTTTTCTGCAATTAGATCTTTATTTCGGTCAGATCTTATAAAATCATTAATGAAGTCCTTATTTATATTGAATTCGGTTTCTTCTAGAAGCACGGCTATATCGTTTCTGAACTGTAAGCATTGCATATTATGGTCCGAGTCAACCTTCGAAACAAAAAAAAAAAAAGTTAGCACATCATGTTATCATCGAGTCTTGAAACTAATGACCACGAATACAATCTAACAGGAGTAAAAACTTACTCTAGACGCTATAGTTTCTATGAAAACAATTTGAAAGGATAAAGAGCGGTGAAGAACAGAATTTGCAAAAAAAAAAGAGCCATGAAGAAAGGAATTTAACAAAGAAAAAAGAGCAGTGAAAAATAGAATTTGCGAAAAAAAAAGGAATTTTCATAAAAAAAAAGAACAGATGATTTGATATCGAATTCGTAAAAAAAAGAACAGATGATTTGATATCGAATGAATTTCATTTTAGATAAAATTCCTCACATTTATATATGCTAAAAAATTCCCAAATGCGCTCTTAAAAAATCGTTCTGTTTCTGATAATTGAAAAGGTATAACAAAATTGACATCCATATCAATCTTATTAACATCCATTATTCTTAAAACGTGCAGTATAAAAACACGTGTGTAAAACACACGAGTGTGATTTTTTTTTTTTTGCCATTACATTAATTATTTATATGATCTAAAGTATAATTATACAATTTAAAGTATAATTATACAATTTAAAGTATAATATTACAATTTGAAGTATAATATTACAATTTGAAGTATAATATTTTTTTTTTTTTTTTTTTTAATATTAAAGGTGACCACTTAGGCCATTGGCATGAGCTTTATTTCGGATAGTT